CTGAAACCAACATGTTTCATGTCAACCAATCACCTTTGGTGAGAATTTGTGCTACCCAAAATTCAAAGTCAAACTGCGATAGGCAAAATTTTCCAGAAAACCAAGAAAATGATAGCTTTAAGAGACTCAATAGTAACCAGAAGGGAAAAAATAAGCCCTTCTGTTATCAAAAACCTTTATATATCTCTCATTTCAAAGGTAGAAAAAACCTTCATGTACTTTACTATTGGTTCTTTTTCCTTTGGAAACTTTCTTGCCCTTGGTATCAAAGATTTTACTTGACTTATTTTTGATCATCAGAAGTCAAGTTTTTGGTCAAAGAAGATTGTAAACAAGTAAAGGAGGGGTGAAGATGACTCTTGAAGTCACTTTTCAAGGTGTTTTGAGGAAAGTATTAAAGACTTTTTAACAAAAAAGCAAAAAACTTCTTGCAAATATCTTTTTTGTGTGTGATCAGAGGATTAGCAAAAAGAGTTTTTTATTGCTTTATAGTATATATTATAAATTTGTTTATTTATTATTATTATTTTGGTAATATAGAAAAATCTTATTATTTATTGTGATATGTTGGTGATATTTATTTTATATATATATTATAATAGTATTGTTAATATTATTAATCAGTCAATAGTAAATATATGAAGTTATGGGGTTGTTGATAATTGATTTGCATAAATATATAGAAAGTATATAAATATTATTTATTTGATATATCTTTTGAGCTTGTTATGAAAAGTATATATGTCTGTATTTGTATAATGTAATATTATTGAAATATAGTTGTTGTGTTATATGTACTTCTTTATTGTATAGTTAATGAATCTTGAACTTTCTTCTAGGTTTTATGAGTATTTTAATTTGAACTGATTTATCAATTTGAGTTATTGCTTGTAAAGCTTTTATTAATATTTAAAAAGGTATTACCTATACTAACCTAGTTAAGAGCTTTGTAAGGTTGATATTGGGCTTCCAAAAGCTTACTGTAATCCAGTCTTTTTTGTTGTTTTTCTTTTTCTAAAAGAAAAAATTTATATAGTAGAAGTGAGTAATTTTATAAAACTTAACTCTTCTATATGTTATCAAAAATTCTTAAACTTATTTTTTGTAAGTTTTTTAGTTGTAAAGGTGATTTCTCTTGTTTTTTGGCTAGTTTTTCTTTTTCTCAAAAAAATTATCAAAAAAGAAAATTTTTTAAAAAATTGAAATCAGTTAAAGATTTTAACTTTTGTTTAATAAAATCTTTTTATTATATAAAAAACTCATTTTTTTTTTACTAGTCCAACTGATAAAATAAATTTTTATTGAGATATCAGTAATATATTTTTTCAAATTATATGAGCAATTTATATAATCTTTTAAACTATCTATTCCTAATCAAGTATATCAATTTTATCACATAGTAACACTATTTTTAATTGCCTGTTCTACCTGGATCTATAATGTTCTAAGGATCCATTATGAACTTCTATTATTTAATTTTCAAGGAGTTTTGTGATATATATTTTTTAGTAGAGACTTGTTTGCCACTTGATAATGGTAAATACTGTAAATGATCTTTACTATGTATAGTTTTTAGAGAGCTGGTTCAAATCTTGTTTTTCTATATATAGCAGTTATATATTGATATTTCAGCAGCTCAATATTGTGCTATACAGATGATAAATAGTTTCCTATTGTATTTGTTTCTAACTATTCTCTAAGTATGACCTACAAGAGATATTTCTTGATCAAATATGACCTTAGTTCTCTTTTAAACATATTCATTTGCTGCAGTTCCTATTATAATACTAATGCTAATTGCTAATTTTGCTGCAAACTGTTTCTATGATAGCTATTAGTTTTACAATCTATAGAATCTCTTATTAATTCAAGTTTGTTATAATACATTAAATTTTTAATTGGTGCAAATAACTGAAGTTTACCAAATTTCCCATAAGAATATTTTTCAAGAAAAGAATAATATCGACATTTCTTTTGGAGGCTTGGACCAATCAAAATTATCTTTTAATTTTTTTTAATATTTTTATATATTACAGATAGTAAGAATCTTTTTTTTTTAGTAATAAATTTGACTAGGACCTATATAATCTAATTTATTATACTATGGTTAACCAGTAATTTTTTATAAATTGATTATGTATAAGTGTACATATAGCTAATTAGTATACATTCTTATATAGTGTAATCTATATTGTACAAACCATTTTTCAATGGTATTAAACAAGTAATTTATGAAGGATGACTTGGGAGTGTATCCATGTACTATTTATTTATAAGTCATTTAAAAAACTTAGCAAAAGATATAAATATTATATTATATTGTATATTTATTACTTGTTTTTTAATATAATAAAAAAAAATTCATTCTGTTAATTCTTAAGTTTTTAGAAAAATTTCCTTTTATAGCAATTTTTAAAAGAAAAATATTCTTACAAAAAACAATCTCAAGAAGAGATAGTAAAGTAAGAACTCTTTTTTATATAATATATAGTTGACTTCTGACAATAATAAAAAAACAAAGTTAGTTTGTAACCATATCCTTATACTTTTGATTTACTTTAGGAAAAAAAAAAGCAAAGTCAACTTATTAACAGTAGGTTTCTTGAGATTCAACATTAACTTCACAAACTCTTAGTCAGGTTAGTGCAGATTAACATCTTTCTAGATACTAAGAAAGGTTTCAAAAGCAATAATCCAAACCATTCAAATTTAGGCTCAAAAAATCTAGAAGTATGTTTAAATCTCTTGGATCGAACAGTAAAAATCAGTAACAAATAATCATAACAACTGATTTATCAACTCACATCATGCAAACACAAATATATAAAAGTGAATAAATCCTAGACATGACAAAACAACAACTCATAACATATCAATATATCGCAAAAAAGTAATATGTATCAATCCAGCTGCATCATAAGCAGTAAACAAGTAATATACATGTAGATAAACAAGACTGGTATACAAGATTGAAACACATGGATAAACAATATATTGGCAAGAATTATTTGATTATATAACCCAATATAGTTTTTTATTTACAGATTATTGTGAAAAAAAAAACAACAAAATATCAAAACAACCTAATACTGTATACAGTATGTAATAGTTTATCCATCTCATATGACAATGACTCAAAAAGAGCAAAAAATTATCAAAATTCTAGAAAGATGTGAGAAAGTAATCCTAAGAGTATTGGGGAATGTCACTACCAGTCAGATCCCCAACAAGAACTATGGAAGACAAAAATGCTTCAACATAATCATCTTTAGAATATTTGGCTTGACATGTTATATATTCAAAATAATGATCTTCCTCAAACAAATATGGAGCATAACTGACTTCTGAAAATCCAAATTTCCACTTGTGATCGGATCCCTCGTATTTTTTTTTTGAGATTATTACCTCAGAAAGTCGACTTGGTCCCGAATGACCCCAATTCCTATTTTTAGTCGATTCACTTTGTCTTTTCAATAAAATAGATATACTGTAGGTAAATTTTTAACATAAATTTTTTAAAAAAACATCGAAGGTTAAATTTTTTCATAAATATTTATACTGTAAATAAAAAGAACATAAGAACATAATAATTACCATCAAATTCTATATCGACATCTATATTATAGAATATAAATCAAATATACATTAACGACTTGGTGTGATATGATCTTTCGTTAATATTAGGTGATTTTTGTTGATATATTAGCATTTTCCAAACCAATTCCAATTGTGTTAGAAAAAAATTTAATGCGTTATAAAATTTCCTATCGTCATTCCGGGGTTGCAGAATACGTAAATCAATAAACTTCTTTTCGTAATTGTCTAATTTAACTTTAAATATATTAGAATCATACGAATATAGTTAATTAATGCAATTATAATACTTGATAACATTAAAGATTGGTTTGTGATATTTTCAATAAAACCCCATTAACAATGCCATCTGAGCAAATCGCCAGGAACAAGATTTGCATTTTCTATATTATCGCATATCAACCTCGAAAAGTTAGCATTTTAGGGAAACATGTAGTAAACTAATGAAAATAAAAGGAAATAAGTTAATTAAAGATCGGCAATTGTTCGAAATATTGCATTAATGATCATTTCATAAAATTATAGTTAATTTAAGCATAATATATTTACATTAATAAGTCTTTCTTTTGTTTCAATACTGTTAAATTCTACAATTGACAAATCTTCAACCGATCTTTCGGATTCCGTAATATCACTATCATCATCAATCTCAAAACATCATCGTGATCATTTTGATTTTCAATATCAACAGCATTATAATGGCATCATTTTCATAATCATCGTTCGTATCTTCTTTAATTTCCTGACATAGAAACTCCGCGTTTTTTTCTTTTGCGCATTCTTGAATATACTTCAAATATTTAGCGGGAAAATTTTTTAAAGTTCCAATATACGAGTAAAATGCTCTTGACGCATTAAGAAATTTCACATCCTAAAAGTATACAAATATATAAAAAATAATATTAGTTTATATTGTCTTATATTGTAAATGTCAATATTATTTTAAAAAAATCTCAGAAGAAAAAAACTTAATAGGTCTATAATATTATATTGACGCAAAGCTCTCGACGAAAGTGGCCAATATAATACCTGCTGAAGTAAAATTCACCTTTTTTTTTTTTTTACATTAATATATTACCAAAGCTTTCGACGAAAGTGATAGATATACTTAATATATATGCTGGTCAGATATTTTATAAAAAATTTGATGCGCGCAATCAAGAAAAATTATTATAATTTGTTCGGCCGTCACGCATATAATAACTTTACAAAGATCAATCTTCAGTCATCCCAACAAATAAGTCATCCTAAATACACATACTAAATCAATAATTTTGTAAAAAATAATACTTCCATCATAATTGTTCTTGAAAATAGCATTAATTCGTATACATCATTTCTTCCAAAAGTCAACTTCTTTCTCATTGCTAAAAATATATAAAAATTGTAAATATCTTGTTGAATAAATGAATATTTCACTGATGCATGGTATAACTCTAAAAGGTCTTTGAGTGTCATTTTAATTTGATAATTGCGCAGTTCGAAGCGGATTTAGGATTTATAGAGATGTTTCTCAGATTAAAAAAAAAAAAAAGATGGTTCTGCAATCTCCTTTTCTGATTGGGGTGTAACAATTTCAGGTATATCGAATATTTTTTTCCATTAATCCGTACTTGCTTTTTCTCAATTCCTATTTGGTGGACTCAAACTTCCAGATTTCTATTACAGATTCGATCTTCCCCATCATTTCCACATCAAGTACGTAATATATAATATTGATATAAATTTCTACAGATCTGTTTATTGATTTTATTATCGCGCCATGATTCAATATGTTATATTATAAAGCGGGTGGGGTTTGGGAGTTGTTTCATTATTGTATCTGTTTTTATTTTAGTGATAGGAAAATTCTGCGGGCTCCATTTTGACAGATCACGGATAAGAAGATACGTATGACATGGTGCATCGGGATGATCAAGAATTTCTCCTAGTCGATCAAAATATGCTTTATTGCCCCTACAACGTGCAGATACGTACGTCAAAAAAAAACTATACGAGCATCACCTGCTTCTATTTTAAGTGGAGCTTCCTGATTACTTGTGACCATAAATTTACTAAAATCATTTACTCTTAAAGTTTCGAGACTTTTGCGTTCTATATTTACTCTTTTTATGTTATAAGGGATTTAAGGTGGCCATTAAACCTATGTCACTCACCATTAGACATATTAGTTTCATTCATAACTACAAGTTTTTTGCCTTGAATAACGCTAATTAAACTTTCCAAGAATTTTTCCTAGATCAGATATCGCATAATGAAAATTCGACCCTAATACCTTGTCATCAATAAAATCGGTAATAATATTTTCCCATATTACTGTAAAGTAGATTTAAATAATAAAATTTATTGAGGTTTCTTATTTGGTTTTTGTACTAAAAATGCCCACCAGTTCCATATATATTTATTAAGCTTTTTATTTCCATCACAGATTACACTTTCCACGTGCCAGAGGAGAGGATCCATAATTTTTATATTAATCTCTTTTACTGGTTTAGCTAGAAATCCCAAGAAGAGATTGAAGAAATTCGTCTTTGGTGTGATTATATTTGGGAGGTATGAGAGAAAATCGATTTCACAATAATGTATTAAATGTTCAACAACTGCTCGAATTATTAAGGAAATTAATTTTAATGTCATTCCTCCATGCTCAATTATATTAACTGCATGCTTTGCAAGTTCTAGCTCACGATCTATATCAAAATAAAGATCATCCGAATTTTTAAGTTTAACTATCCAGATTAGTATTCTTTGCTCGACACATGCTATCGTCGCTTGAATCGCATTATATACTGTACCTCATTACGTGTAAACTTTTTCTTAGACATATACATACGAAGTAAGTCGCCCCATATGAAATAATTATTTGATCTGAAATTCTAGTTCGATCTAATTTCTCTTGGATTAGAAAGTTGTTTTCCTGATCCAAGGTTGAATCATCAATAACAAGCGTTAAAAATGACTTTTTTGCACCAGGCTTTCTATTTTGATTTGCGCGGTGACAATAGAAGCTCTATGATTTTTTATTACGGATAATATACTGTATTTATTTTCACTATCATATGAATTATTATTACCATATTCTTGTTCACATAATGATTAGGGCGAGGAGGTTATGTGCTTGAGAGGGGATGTATCAGGAAATTTATCTGTGGGGTAATAATTTCATTTCCTTTAATATGGCATCTTTGAGTAATAATTCTAGCAATTCAAGCTTGACTTCAGTAATATCAGTGGCTTTATTGTGGGAGTTGTATTTTCTAGTTGTCACCGGCTCTGGGACAATCAACAGAAGACTATTTATAACTGGTGTCTCGTCATTAGGTGGGCAAAGCATGAAGTCAAAGATAATTCAATTTTCAGGTATAACAGCTCTCTTTGTATGAATATGTTTATCAGTGTTTTGACAATCTTTGGGGTTCTAATCATTAGCAGGGAGAATGAACTTTTATTTGTAATATTATTCAATATTTTTTCAACCTATAAACCTATTGGAAGTTTCTTACTAATAAGTTCAATAAATAATGCGCAAGCTGTTACATTTTTAAGTCTCATACTGAAAGTTGAGATACTGTATGTGATGACATTTTTTTCTGGTCTCTACTATTGGCAACAGCTAAGGTTTTAATATCCCAATCTGGATAAATCTCAATAAACCTTTCTGAAAACCCCGATTAAAGCATAATAAGCATCTTTACGTGTAAGTTTTGATTCGATATTATTTATTGTTTCTTGGGATAAATCAAAATCGATAAATGGGCGAAGTGGAACATCACCATCAACACATTCGAATAGTAACTGTCCCTGATGCTCTGTAAATATATTTTCTATCCGATCTTAGAATCTGTGCCGAGGAATTGTCTTGTCTTACGCTGTCCTCACGAATTTTATGCCTCACTCATCTTTGGCCCCCAGTAGTAGTAGAAGCCCCTATTTCCTTCTGACCAAATATTTGGCTCTAGATCAAAATTTTTTGAGTTTTCTAGGCTCTCTGATGCATAAGTCTCCTCACATTCCTTCAATTTTTCAGGAATTTGGATTTCACTCGGCGCATTGGATGATACAAAGTATGTGTTGAATCAGAGATTTTTCAATATATTATTCTATGAAAAAAGTTTAATTTGAAAATATTAATTGGTTTTACCTAAGATAGTATTACTAGCGAGTTTCAAAAAATAGTAATCAGTAATGACGGATATTTATCTTTGTTAATAATAAAGGACATGCTATTCACTGGAAATGGCATCAACGCGTCCCCTGCTTAGAATGTGGTAAAAAAAACTGCTTCTGAGTATAGCTTATGTGATTTGCATGCAGAAAAACGTCATGTTAAAGTTTACTGTCACCAAAAAAAGCTGGAGAATATGGCACAAAATATTGTTATAAAAAATACATAGTGGAGTTCGTCTCAAGTAAAAAAATTGGCAAAAAACAGGTTTTTTGAGAGTCTGAGTGAGTTCTATTCTCGATGACTGTAACAAGCATCAAAAGCTTCTCAGGTTAAGTCCTGCCTTTTTATTTTTTTCTATATGTATACCATATGTACACGTACGGTATATCGAAGGTACGTATACAGTATATCAGGTACAGTATATGTATATGTATAGAAGGTAAGTATATATCAGGTATATATATATGTATCGTAGGTAGATACAGTATACTGTATATCGAGTATATGTGTATGCATCAAAGGTAGGTACAGTACGTATCGAGTATATCTTATATGTACTCTATATACAGTATATGTCGGGTATACAGTATATAAAAGGTATACCATAGGAAGGATTTTATTTTTTTCCCTTAGAATTCTACTATTTTGCTTAAGTAAATTGTAACAGATATAAAGAAGTAATCAAGAACAAAATGAAAAAGCTCGAAATTTTCAAACAGTATCTGCAAACAACTTGTGACAAGGCAAGTCAGGATAAAAAAATTGATTTGATAACATATAACGTGATAACTTACAAATTGCACCTACGTATGTTGCTAAGCAGACGACACCTCACCCTCGTCGGTGGGAGGACTATACTTAAAATCGAAGATGACAACATAAGAGAGAATAATAAAAAACACAAAGTACAAGATCAGCCAGTGTTGATAATCAACGCCAGGCAATATTATAATTAAAGTTATGACACGAAAAATACAAAATAATGCGCCCCTCATGAAATTCCAAAACAAATTATCACTCGATTGCCATAATATCCGACCAGTGATATATAGGGCTATTAGTATCTCCATGACGTATGATGCCTCAAATAGATTTATACTGATATCGGAAAAATCTCCAGATACTCCGATGGTCGCTATCTGAAAAATGAGTTTTAGCGAGGAAAAACTTTTTTTTTTTTGTACATAAAAAATCTATGGTTGTGGCATTACCTCAAGTACGATATAAAGACATAAAAGTGTGATTATAATGAACAAATCAAATTTTCGAGGTTCAGTTTGAAGAAGACGATGGGACAAAAGCAATAGAAAGGATAGAATCGCAAGAAATTCGACAATTAAAATCCCATAATAAATGGCCAACGATTCGTTTGTGCCCGTGTCCGAGACAAGGTGAAGGGACGAGTCCCCAATTAAAGATAATTGGAAAAAAGCTTTGACGACTTTCGTGAAGGGATATTTTTCAAACAAGCTAAAGATAAAATTTATGAGGGAAGCCTGTAGATTGTGGTACGAACGATGCTTAGTCTCTAAAACTTCATACAGTCTACGAATGTCGACATAGAAATGTATTACCGCAAGTAAAATGCCATGTAAAATTTCAAAGACAGAAATTTCGTAAGCCATTAATAAGAGGTATTTTTTTATATTTTCTTTTTATTTTGTGGTGGCGAATTCCCTTAGTCCACAAGAAATATACTGTAATAATTACCTATATATGTTCTTATGGCCCGCAACGCCAATAGGGCGGAAGTATTAGTAACATCTTTTTTTACTTTTTTTAAATTAATGCATAACAAACAGGTTGCCCTTTCACTTATTTCCAAATTCAACTCATAAAAGAGTAGCACTGCATTCCCATGGAATCAAATACGTTTTCGAATAGCATAGATGTTGCAAATTATTAAATGCGAACTATGAGAGTTGGTTCTGTATGATCTCAATAATAAATAAATAGACACCCGAGATCGCAATCAGAATATGGTCTCAAACTGCACGTTACGCCTAGAGAAACATATCCACACGTCTTGATGTGCAAGTGGAAATAACCTAAGTTAAGTGGAAATAATATAATTATATTGTTTTTACTCTCCTACTGCATTAATGCACCCAGTTACTTATTATAATTGTTTTATCACTTAATTCTAACTAGTGATTACAATGGATCGAATTGGATCAACTATATTTGATTCAATTTGATTTTTATAAATATGAATCAGATACAGATTCAATTTGTTTTAAATTGATTTGATTTGATTTGAAACTGAAATGATTTGATCAGAATCTGATTCAATTTGATCCAAATTTGATTCAAACTGAATCTGATTTGAATCTGTATCAATTATAACTACTTTGATTTGGTTAAATTAAATTAACTTGACTTTATTTTACTAAAAAAATTTTAACTAATATATTTACTTTCAAAAATATTTTTTGATCTTAAATTCATGTCTATACTTTTTAAAGTGTTTTTTAATTATATGTTTAAAAATTTTTGTTTTATTAAATTTAAATTAATATATTTATTCTACTTATAATTGTTCATTTGCTTCTATATTAATGTACTCCCCACTATAACCAGTATCTTCTAAAATAATTTGATTTTTTGTATCATTTTTTTATCATTTTTTATTATAGATATTTTAAGAAAGAAGGCTAGCAACAAGAACTAGCATATTATAGTTCTTGAAGATATGAATAGAACCCTCAATCCAATGTTGAACAGACATAACAATCACAAAATCTTATGTACCAACAAACCAACTGGATCCCATATAGAACTATTAATCAACAAAGGTTTCAAAGACAGCTACTGTACACACAATTCCATCAAAAAGGAGTTCATATGAAAGGGGTAAAATAGTAAAAGCAAAGTAGATCAAATATGGCTCAGCCCTTCAGATAAATAGCAATCAAGAAATGCATATATATGAGATATACTACAACTCTTAATCAAAAGCAATCACAAAACATGACTATAGAATTAAAAATGTGGAACCTAAATTTAAGCTCAAAGAAAAAAGCTACAGTGCATAAGTATAATTACAGATTTAATTGACAATACATTAGTATAGAACAATAGATATCCTTTATGAATATGATGGAAGAGCTAACCTCAAAAACTGCCTAGCCAAATATCACAATAGATAAAAGATAAAACATCTTCAAAAATAATATGCTAAAAGCTGTTAAAAAGAATATCTGTAAAATTAAAAACCACCACAGGAAAAGGATTCATCTAGAATAAGCAAGACCTTTACCATTTATCATCTCCTTACAAAATTTCCTAAATGACTTGAGAAACTAACCAACAAGTATAAGAATGATCAATCCAACTAGAGAAACTCTGATAACTAAGGAGATAAATGTTAAATTTTTTGACATACACAATATGCTCATTATAATAAGAATAGAAAAACTGAAATATATATTCAATAATGGATCTCAATCCTGCAAAAAAATATATAAACACACAAAATTATAGTCAAACATATCATAAACTATAGACAACCCAAGAATATTAAACAAAGAATAATCAAATGACAAGTCTTTTTGGAAATCAATAAAAAGGCTATAATCAATAGTATTATAGAAAAACCACAAAAGATTATATATCTGGATAAAATTATTTTGCAAGAAAAGGAGGTTGAATCATCACAGACCCAACAGCAATTAAAGAATATATGAGACTTCATTTCCAGGAATAGATATCTATAAGAAACACATAATTACTGGAAAACTATCCACTATGTAAAAGGGAATATGAACTCAAAAGCTATATTCATTTATATTGGTATGAAACTATAATCAAAGAAATCTCGAAAGAAGAACTTAATAATGCAATCAAAAAGTAAAGCAACAAATCTACACCTGGACATAATCAAATTCCATATATTATCTATAACAATCTGAAAAAAAAAGTCAAAAAAGAAGTCCAAGGAATTTTCAATCAAATAATCTAACAAAGTGACAACCCAGCAGAGTGGAGCAAAGGAATTATCTATTTAATCCCAAAATTAAAGAAATAGCAAAACAACCTCAATATTATAAGACCAATCATTTTACTTAATGCAAGAAGAAAAATTTTTATAAAAATTCTAACCGATAGGCTAGCTATGTATATTAGAGAAAAAAAAATACTATTAGAGCATAACTGGATCACATTTCCAAAAAACAGTATATAAGGCCCAATGTACAAAATCAGTAATATAATAGAACATATCAAAGAAAATAAACAGCAGGTATAAATTCTCAGACAGGATATGTCCAAGATTTATGATTCAATCAACATCATGATGCTGATACTAGCCCTTAAAAAAATAAAGATTTCAGATTAAATAATTTGAATTCTAAGAAATATATTATACACTAAACAAAACTCTATAATTATATGCTATAGCCCAATATAGAAATACAATGTACAAGATGGAATTAATCAAGGAGACACAATTTTACCACTCTTATGATAAATTTTTTATGATTCTCTCTTGACTATGATTATGAAAATATATAAGAGACATACAATAAGTTCAAAATACTATGAAGACTCAAAAAGGAAGTGGAACTATAGGACCACTGATATTGTTACTGGCACCTATATAGATAACACAACATGGATTACTAGAATCAAAAAGATTTACAACAAGTCATAAATACAGTATAACAATTTTATCATATCAATGACATTCAAATGAATCTATTAAAATCATAATTGTTGACCATTAATAGAAAAAATACAGACTATGAACAAGGGGTCAAAATGGACAAACTCAGAGTAGAAAGCTACAAATCAGACATACCTATAAGAATTCTAGAGGTATGATATGACAACTTTGGATAGAAAAATACCAAAGAAATCTCATAAATCAAAAAACAAATAGAGTTGAAATCCTATTAGGAATAAAAAAAGCAATAGATAAGTAGATATAATATATTATCAACCATGTCTTCGTGTCAAATATAGAGTATCTATACAATAATATAGTCTTATTTAGAAAAACCTGTAACCACCTAATGAGCAGAATAGCTATAACATACAAGCACAAACTAGGCCTCACAAACACAATCCCAAATAGTATGCTATACAACAATCAAG